CTGTTTGTCTGTATTTTACGTAATAACAAAAACAAAAAATGATTTGCGACAACTAACCAGTTGCGCACGCAGAAAGATGAGAATTTCACTCTATCCTGTTGGCAAACTGGGCTTTGTATCCGGCGACTGGGCTTATTAGCCGGCGGATTTTGCTATGTAAAGTTCCGTCCCAAGCTGAATGGGCTTATAAGCCGGCGGATTTTGCTATGTAAAATTCCGTCCCAAGCTGACCTCGGGCTTAATACGCGGCTGGGCCTACTAACCGTGGGCTTAATAACCGGCGACTACTCTAATAGCTAAAAGCTCGGACTAATAGGCGGCTGGGCCTATTAACCGTGGGCTTAATAACCGGCGACTACTGTGAATACGCGGCTGGGCCTATTAACCGTGGGCTTAATAACCGGCGACTACTGTAGTGTGTAAAGGAAGTGAACTGACAACGGCATTATCATCCTGAGACTTACCAATAGCTTTAAAAGGGTTAAGAGATCATGTAGTCGAGAACATACTTTGCTCAGGGTGCAATAGCAGCGCTCCTCTCGAATTGCTGGTAGTTCAATAGTCACTACCTATTGCAAGATAAGAGCATTATTCGATAAGTGATGGGTGTTGAGAGCCTAACTCGGCGATGTAAGCAATACTTTGGATATTTCTTTCATCTCCTATACCCACGAACAAACAGTAACACTTATTGTTAAAAAGCGATGATAAGTAAGAGGCTCACACATGCAGCAAACTTTTCGACGCGAGACGGACTCAGTCAGGTCTTTTGAGACATCGTATTCACTTACAGCCCGAAAATTCGGTGGTTACATTGCCAACTCAAGCAAACGGTCTGAAACTGTGCGCATTTCACCCTTTTCAGTTTAGGCTTTTGGAAACTAAAGATTACCTGAAGTGTCTGACATAAGACTTAATCATTAAAATAAATTTTCTGAAAGACACATGACAGTGACCTATGTATTAAGAGTTTTTATATTACCTTAAGCCTGTATAAAAACCCCATTAGTGGTGTTTCAAGACGGTGATTTTCAAACGGCGTGAGTTGTCTCGTTAGCGCCGCATGAGAAACTGATAAGAGCGTGTATAGTTGGAAAATTAAAATGCAATTAAGACGAGGAGGAAAAAATGGCCCACCTTTCAGGGGATCGCACCTTGAAACTGAAACATTGTAGCATCTGCAGAATCCCTACTCCGGGTTCGACCGTCGACTTTGATGAGTTCCACTGTGTGCTCCACAGCAGAGTGGGGCAGGGATGGTGACTTGCACTGGATTTTAGTGATAGTAGGCTCGCATTGTATCTGCCTTACTCCCTGTTCAACTCTCTCAACTGGATCCAGTGTCAAGACAAAGTCTACAGTACTGACTTACACGCGCATAGCAGTGGCAATCTGCTTTTCGGCCAGCCACGACTTTCCAAATCGGCCAATCAACCTCAAGGCCGACTCCGACATGCCCTCAATGAAGACAGTGTCTTCCTAAGGCCTAAGTCACCGTGGCACAAGCATGCCTCTCTTGAAGAACGCTTACCTATCTTCTACGGTTTAGTTTGAGAGATTATTGTTCATACGAGTTTCATTGCCTACTTTTCTGGCATACCTTCCAGAAAACAATGCAATTGAGCTGTAAATGGAACCGATTCGGAACAAGGTGTCATTATCTTCAGCAACAACGGAGGTTTGTAGTTTGATCTAAGTAAAGGAAATTCCCTGGTACTTGACAATGCATCGGACGTTCGACATGGCCGGCAAAGTAGAAGGACTGTTATTGAGACGGTCTATGATAAAGTAGGAGACGTATTCCACGATCGCTTACCTCATCCAGCGAAGCATGTTTTCTACTCAGCTAAAATTGTCTTCGTTCAGGCAAGACAGTCTATTGCTACAAGAAGTGATTTAGAACATTTAAGATTAAAAGGAACCATACGGTTAAATAGCCTGACGATTCGGATTCTCACTCAACCCTAGCATCAGAGACAATCGCAGATAAGGGTCCATTGTCGCTAACTGTTTACTAAGTGCTAAAGATAAAAGCGCCCTCTCAGTTGTTGGTTTAGCATCAACTGTCTGTTTTTCCATCCTCTTTAGACCTGAGTCAAAAGCAGGCATGTCAATGCTACCGTTTTAAAATAAGTCGCTGCCTCAGATCTTCAATTTTATGCAGGCATTTCCCAACTGATGTGTTTACCTCTAAACAACCCCCATGACCCAAAACGTACATAAGTGGATTGGGATAGCGAAAATAACGCTTTAGTCAGCATACAAGAAGAATTCTTCCCTGACAAAGACAGACACGATACCGTCAGATGTGCGCCCCAGCCACGTCCCGTGGAAAAATAACAATTGGGGAAAAACAGGAAACCACTGAAGTAAACCCTTGGGTGTCGGATCCCCTGCATTATGAGCCTCGTGCGCTCGCTGTCCTGCTTATTACCTTGCAACAGGACGCTGTGTCAGTTGACGCAATTAGGGGTGTGGGCAAGTGTGAATTGTAATATGAGAAGCCCTGTGGGTTACAAAGAAGTAAGTAATCACTGAAACCATAGTTGTGTGCTTATGCAGATAAATGTAAGGAGTTAGTAGGCAGGAAGCAGGGTTGTAAATGCATTTTATTGGCGGAATACGTGATGCTGCCATTTACCGTGAGTGAACAGCTGAAAGTTGGTTGTTTAGCAGACCCAACTCAGCGACTTGCTGAAACATTAAAAGTGTCCATAAAACATGATAGTCTGCTTCAGTACAACTATTGCAAACAGGATATTAAGGCATAAATAGGTAGACATGTTACTGTTGAAGAAATGTCATTAGTAGGAAGAAAAATTAAATAAATATCAACGTAAATGCATATGCGGAGTTGTATAAATACGAGATAGACCGAGCACTTCATATGACTGTAAGAACTGCACATGCACAACTATGTAGTTACTGCAGATAAAAATGGTAAAATATTCCAATCGCAATCGCGATTCTGATAGCAAACCTAAGTGTGCGCTGAGAGTTCCAATGCACTGCTGACAGCAAAAGAGTATGGGGTACCCTTCAAACTGCCTCACTCGCGAGGGCATAAGTGTTTGCCAAGAAACCGCCCTTCATTGATCAAGGTACAGTTATGAAAGTCGTGCGGTGTTAAAGGCCTGAATAGTAAATTTTCCGGTTTCATAACCCTAAACATAGCCCTAACATAAACTTATACCGCAGCTCTAACCTTAAACTTAAGCTTATGGTAAGCACTAACCCTAGCCCAAATGCTAACCTGATACCTAACATACTCTAAAGCTAACCCTTATCCCAAATCTAAATTTAACCCTAAACTCAAATTTAACTGTAAACCTAACCCCATCTTTTCCCAGAATTTGGCATATGGACACCTGTATTGCGAGCGTTGTCTGTTCCAGGATGAAGGGACACGGATAGCAGTCCACATAGGATGCTAAAGAACGGCTGAAACATTGTTGTTCACAAATCATATAGTTGCTAAAGAATCATGATAAAACTTTCACTTTTTGGATGGCATTCACTTCGAAAGACCGCTCACCTTCTTTAATCTTTCATTATCGCAGGACAACTTCTTGAACTGCTTCACACCGCTTCGAATATCTACTTTCGAAGCGAGTTGACGGGCTTCAGAGTTTGTGATGGCAGTTTTGAGAGCAAAACTGTGAGGGAGCGGAAAATGGAGTGGTCTCAATGAGTTAACAGAAAAACAAAAATACTCACCAGCATACGGTCAC